AGTATAAAATCATGCGGCCAGAGCACTGAGAGACAAGTGGGAGACAAGGGTGAAATCATGCGGCCAGGAACACAAGCCCGGAGACAAACTCAAAATCATCCGGCCCGAGCACGCACCCCTTTAAAAGGAGTAAGAACCCCTCACAGGTAAACCTGTTTGGGGAAAAAACACAAACTGTTTGGGGCCTACGGTGGTGTAATTTTTTCTCTTTTTGCAGATGGCGGCATTCTTGCATTCGTTTGGAGTCTGCTTCCGGCGCTGCCAGCTGCCAGCCATTGTTTGCACTCTCCACACGCCTCGGCCTCCTTGATTCTCAGTTCCTTCAAATATCCAGGAACGTCTTGTGATACAGTGCCTCTTCATTTATGATTTATGATGAACGTTTTGCTGTTAGGATACTTGCTTGCTTTGTCACACAGCTGGCAAAATCCTCCGCAGTTTTGGGTTTGATGTTGCTTGATGTTTTCCATATCGCCCCTCCCTTTCGCATTTGCCTTGGTGATGTGAGGTGACTACACATGACTTCTCACTTCTGGTGTGAATTGGCTTTGCAATAAACCCACTTCCTGGGATGGGGCTGCTCAGTTCAACCTCGCCTTCTTGCGTGATTGATTTCACCCCAACTACGCTGACCAGGGTGGGCTTGGGCACTCAGATCCTCAACTTGGCGATGAAAAAATACACCCTTGGGGCCTCCCCGATGAGAAAGGATAGCTGGATAGCCCTGTCAGCGCATCACGCACAGCATTTGCCCTCGCGGCGCTGGTGGGCACCGCTGCTTGGAAACTTGGGCGCTGGCGCCGCTGCAACGTGCGGCTGCCGTGTGTGCTTGGGCGCTGGCGCCGCTGCAGGGTGCTGTGCGCTAGGGAGGTTTGGCGCTGGGGTGACTGCAGTGCGCTTGTTATGAAACGCGAGTGAAGAAGCCGCGACAGCTTGAATGCAATGATTCCAATTCTATCTGAGGCCTATGCTGACATTCCTTTTTGCTGGCAATAATGCCCTTCAGCGGCTTGCTGAGCACCATGTTCAAGCCGTCTGAGGATACACTGAGTGGGGGATTCATTCTTATGGTCGAACCACTCAGTTTGATGACCTTTTGCTCCTTCCTGAGCATGTGGTCCAAGTGTCTGCGACGCAATCCAACGCAACAGTTTCCAAATTGCCCCTCTGCGGCCCTCTCTGGACAGCGGTAGCCGTTTCTCAGGTTCCCTCTCCGGAATCAAACCCTAATTCTCCGTTACCCGTCATTGCCACGGTAGGCCAATACCCTACCGTCGGAAGCTGATAGGTCAGAAACTTGAATGACACATCGCCGGCTCTAAGAGCCGTGCGATTCGGCGAGTTTTCATGAATCACCACATGACCAGGCGGAGTGAAACGGCCTTCCCGTAACGAAACAAATTTCAACGGCAAAGACCCCAGACAAGCGGGGAGACATTTCAGGTTGGGACCTTTCCACGAGTTTTTGCAAGCAGAACAGTCTAGGACCCTTGTTGGGGAGACAGGTAGTTTAAGGAGACAAGGCAGCAGCGGCATGCAGCGGCAAACCAAACGTCGAGCACGCAGGCAAACAAGTTGGGAGGCAAGTGGGGAAACAAGGCAGCAGCGGCAGCGGTGGACCAAAACGCCGATCAGCCACCCAGTCACTGAGAAGTGAGAGCCCTTTCAGCTATCTGGGGAATAATTTGCAAGTGAAAATTTGCACACCTTGAAAGAAACGCGCTGTCCGCTACTTATTCCCCAACCAGTGATCACAGGGTTCTTGCTGTAGGTGTTTAGTTCTGGTCTTGATCGAGGGCGCTCACCGGCGTCTGCGGCAAATTTTATTACCAATACAGCAAAACAGTTCCTCTCCACATCTTCAAAGCGCATTGCAGGCTTGCACAAACTGGTGGGCTCAAGCAGATGCTTTCCTCGGCTGCGCTCTCGCTGTGGTGCCCTGCACATTTTGTTGTCACTTTTGTGGCAGGTGGAAGTCGACCTTTCTTTGCCTGCAGAGGAGATCAGAGCAGTTGTACTTCGATGTGGCAGGCGCAGCACTTTGGACTCAGCCGTGGTCTTTGGCACGCTCTGATTTCATGGCAAGTGCAGTGAACCATGAACTTTGGACATGCATGTGGCTCGTTTGGGAAATTTTGTGGATGTGTCGCGCAAAAACTTTGGTGCAAGTTGGCATCTCGAAGTTGCTTTGGATGCGCTTCTGTTGCGAAGTGCACTGGCAGGGGTTGCGCGATGTGAATCATGATGCGCAGATTTCTTGCCAGGCACAGCTCGAAGCGCAGATTTCGTGGCAGGCACAGCACTGCAAAAGAATGCTTTCACATGTCACCTCTGTGCTCTTTCATGTGGTTGCCGGGATAACTTTGGTCTTTCTGTTTGTCTTCTTATCTTTCGGGGGGGTAAGCCGTGAAGGCGGGTCGTATGTAGGCTTTTGTGGTATCTACTAGTGAGTAGCGCCACTACTAGATGCAGAACACAGAAAAGCTCAGGCGTACTGGTCCCCCCTACGGCCAAGGGGAAGCTTCTGTGGAGAACTGTTTGCATGATTGATTTGTTTCCTTTGGATTCAAATTAGATTCTTTGAACAGCCTGACGTTTTGCACAGGCATGAGAATCAGACCTGAGGTCTGGACGGTGTCTCCAACATGCAGGCTCTCTATTGGGTCAACCTTTCACTTTCGGGAAAGCTGGAAGATACTGAAGCTTATATAGAAATAATCAGTTCCTCAAAAAAGTTGGAACATTCTTTGCCTGAGGCTTTGGAGCTTCCATCACCTCAACGAAAAAGAGAGGAGAAACAGAAGAGGACCTCTTCAAAAAAGGACCTTTAGAGGCTTTGCACAAGTAACAACTAGCAGAAGCAAAAATGAAGTGCGTCTGCCTCTGGTGCTGGCTCTGGCGGGATGTCCTCTGCAGGTGTCACCAGCTCCAACCAGGCTTTGTGGAACGTCATCCTGACAATCAACTTTCCAACGTCCAGTCTGAGAACAGAACAGCTCAGCAGCCTCGAAACATTTCGGTCCCCAAGCTTGTGAGAAACCTGCCACACATCGTCACATCTTGTATCAGGCATGGAAAGGTTTGGCCTCTTATATTGCCAAGGCTTTGACCATCACGGTCCCGCTCATGTCCACAGCCTCCGCTGCACTCAAGCTTTCATGATCTTTCATGTGTGTCTATAAAAGGTTGTCAATACGTTGAGATTGAGAGTGGAATCCTTCAAATGCCTCGACTGTGTAGAGCTTTCCTTCATAGTTTGGATTTGCTGCATGGCCCTTCAACTGCACCTGGACACTTACAGTACTCCGTACCCAACACTTTTCTGCGTCTGTCGAATGCAACGCAAGCAGAATCTCTGCCTGCAAAGACGAACCCTGCTGCACAGTCATTGTCAAACAACAGACCAATGCGGTATGTTGACTGAGGACTTGCACTCTGTCGCCCATCTTGAAGTCAGGCGAGGCTCCTTTTGCATGGGGCAACATGCAAGCAATTACCACTACTACGGATTTGTGTGATCGTTGCCTGGCATTGGCACTTGAGGCCTAGAAGTCAAGGGCGTAAAGATTCAGAAGCAAAGGCCAGGGTTGCAAGAATGTGTCTCGGCAAAGCATCTTTGCAGCCAAGTGTTTTAACTCTTTTAAAAAATGAAGTGGGTTTGCAAAAGAGTCCTCAAACCAAGAATGTTTTTTGCGTCTGGTGCTTTCTAGATATCTCTGCCAAGTCACAAGGCAGCCTGTTGATTCGGCATTGGGGGCGGCCTCAATGTGCACCACTACAAGTTGAAAGCCACAACCATTCATGCTTGATATAGCAAAATGGCTGAGACCAATGCACGAAAGACATATTCATCGATTGCTGCCCGTTCATGTAAGTAGGAATCTGGGAGCACAACAGGCATCGTTGAACAAGTGAGAACACTGGGCTATGTCATGTCCATCAAGCAGAAA